TGTGTGTGTGTGTGTGTGTGTGTGTGTGTGTGTGTGTGTCTGTCTGTCTGTCAACACGATAACTTGAGAAGGTCTTGATGGATTGTCTTGATACTTGGTAGGTGGGTAGGTCTTGATGAGACCTCAAAATGATTGGATTTTGGGCCACCTGGCAGCTTGTCATGGTACTGCAGCAGAACTTCCGGTTTTGATATCTCATGATCCAGACATGCTAGGGTGACGAAATTTAGATGGTAGATAGCTCTTGTGCTGGGGATAAAGTGACATGAGTTCGAGCCCCCTAGTTGCTTGCTCTAGAACTGCAGGGGGGTTTAAAGGACAAATGTTTAAAGGGGAATAACTCAAGAACCGATTGATGGATCATCATGATTTTTGGTATGTAGGTAGCTTGAGTGATGCTTGACATAATGATATTACAATTATGCAAATATGGATGTAATTTGCATAATTAATGAGGAAATTCTATTTATCAGCTGCATTCCATAATAGGAAGTTCAAGCTTGTGACATATGTTATTAAGAATGAGAGATACACAGGCAGATATCGATTATGCAAATGAAGACTTAATTTGCATAATTAATGAGAAAATATTATAATTGCATAGTGGTAACTGCCTGGAATTTTATACTTGAGGTGTTTGAAAGTTAAGTTAAGGTGAACATAATTAAACATAACTTATTCAAATAAGGACCTCATTTGCATGATTTATGAGAAAATGTCATCATGGCATTCTTTGTTAAGATAAGACTGTCTTTTGGTGGAGAATATGATCAACAGATATAATTCATGCAATTGAGGATCCTATTTGCATAATTAGGGGGATTAACATATAATTTCTTAATCATTAAAGCTAACAGCATTAGATTTGTCGCCTGATTTGAAAATTGGAGTGAGAATTGTATTCCAGTTTGATGGAAACTTGCCGTTTGATAGAATTGTATTGAATAATGTTACCAGTGACTGGCATAGCTGTGCTGACCCATGTTTTAGCATCTCATTTGAACTGAGGTCTATGCCGCATGCCTTCCCAGATTTCAGTGATCTTAAACCGTTTAAAACTTCTTGTGGGGTGAAATGAAAGTCTAATAAATTTGACGTGCAGTCGTGTGAATACTTTAAATGATCAAAGACCGTTTTTTCACAGGCAGTGTCAAAACTCGTATTTCTAACTAGGTTGTTTAAGTCTTGGAAATGTTTTATCCATTGTTCAGCTGTAATGGTGGGATCTACAGAGCCCTTATTGTTTTTTTCCGTTTACTTCCGTGTCTAGGCAATTTAGAAATGACCAAAATTCTTTAGGGTTTTTCTCATTCAATGATTCCCATTTCTTCAAAAGCTCAATCTTATAATAACGTTTCTGTTGTTGTATAATTTTTTTGTATTCTTTCAGAGTACGAAAATATCTTGATCTATTTACTTGTGCCCGATGATCTTTTTTCAAAACAGTCGATTGTCTTTTTAATCGTTGACGTAGGGACCAACAATGCTGATCAAACCATGTTTTTTAACATGAACAGTTTTGTTGTTTTGTCTAGGGCGTTTTATCTTTAAAAATCTTTTTGAAAATCCCAGTAGAATTTCTGTAAAACTTGTAATGGCGTTTTCCGCTGAGGTAATTTTTTTTTTCTGGCAGAAACCGCTCAGTTTAGAACATGTATCGTTATTATTCAAAGTATTTAAAAATAATTCTTTTGATTCATCATTCCAGAGATATTGCACCGGCTTTGGGTTTACTCATGACTAATTTCTTTCAAGACAAATGGAGAGTACTTCGTCGACATGGAAAGGGAGATATGACAGTGATTGGAGAACGGTGATATGGAGCTGACATTTATATATTGTGATGAGCTGTAATTATGATGTGTGCATAATTGAGAAAATTGATTGACATATATGGCGGATAATGTATACATAATTAGGGGTGGACGGAACCATTTTGATGGACAGAACCTTTGGGTGTGATATCCCGCGAAAGGGTTTATGGGGTTTATGGTATGTATTTGGTCATTGGTTTTATGGATTATTGATATATAAGCATCAATGCTTTATGATCACTTTCATGACCCGATTGTTAGCATTGATGAATATGGACGGAACTCATGAGTGATCCCTTTACTTTATACATGTATACATATGTTCCCATCACGCATACGTGTATGTACATGTATGTGTCTATATATACATATATCGATATAAACATGTAAAATATTACTTCGGAGTAAGTATTACTCCGTAAGATATTACACCGGAGTAACAATTTTACTACAAACGGTGTGTTTGTAGCAAGTACGTAGAGTTGCCATGGTTATCTGTATTGTGTAGCCTTGCAACGATCATATGTTCAAGAAGGCGCGCGTTGTGGCGATCCTGTTAAGGCATGGGGACAACGCCTTGATGATTCATGCCTACGTGGTTTGAATACATAAATACGTGTGGACATATACTCGTACAGTTTATATTTGAGTTCCCATTCATCATCTGTTCTTTATTAGTCAGAAATAGTAGGTGGGTACAAAAATAACCTCACGCAACAGTGTCTATTTTAAGAGTTTCCGTGCGCTTTTTCCATAATGTTAACAAAAAATTCGATTTTTTGTCTCTGCACCTGCCATCACCAAGTCGCCCAAAGATTATTGGTATGTAATATAAAAACATGAAACAAATATTACTCGCTTTTACAGTATTTAATGTTGAGTTCCAGTCAGTGTGTCGGTTGTATTTCACATCATTATTTATATTTCAATTAGATAACATAAAATAGTGAATAATTAACAAAATCACATGTATGGTGAACATAATAAGGAGACCTTTGATGTTGCTATGCCATTTTACCGCATATTTGGAACAACATCGTGCATCACTAAGACCTGGTTGGGGCAGTTCCTTTGCTCTGCGTGGCCTTATAATTAGTTTTCGGAATAATTTGACTCGTAAAATTTCTTAACTTGCAAGAAGACCAACTGCGTACAGTACGCCTAAGAAAACTGCCTGGAACTCTCGACGTGGCTTGGCGGTTGGGTACGAAATGCGAAGTGAGAAGATAGCTCTCTGACCACGATTCGGGAATGCGACTGAACTAACTGTAAAGAACGATGGCTTGTTCCCGCCGGCCTTTCCGCGAATTCGAATTTGCTTCACCATGATCAGAAGTAACAACCGTATTGCGCAAAGTACGTTCCTTTTCAACAAAAACACTGTACTTGCGTAGACCGAGTACAGCGATGTCAACTTGGTGGCCTATCGCCTATGTTTTAACTGCTTCACACTGCATTGCACAGATGCCACTGCTTATGTGCATGTCTTTACAGTCTATATTAGACTGTAAAATCTATTACAGATATCTAAAATGCGGTCCCATTATACATTGTACAAATACATAAGACGTTTACGACCGTATTTTTACAATTAGACTATTATCTTAATATTGAGCGATCATGCGATGATTATAAGTAGTTCATGAGTTACAGAGGACGGGCCTTAAAAGCACCTCTGATCATTGGGTGACCTTCCCCGAAACTATTTGAAAAGGGTTAACTTTATTCAAAGCTGGTTATTTTGGTTATCCTGGGGATGGTGTACTACTAAAACGTCAAGCGGTTAAGTAAGGAAAAATCATTTTGAACATGATAATCAATGTCACCGGTGTACGTGTATATACCGTAAACCAGAAGTTCTAACCCTAACAATAGTAACATCAATACTTTTACGCTTTATTTATTACCTTCACAAGTTGGTGCAGCACCACTCCAAGTCCCGTTCGGCTGGCAGGTTATATTAGCAGTCCCCCACAGCTGATACCCGTCCATACAGGTGTACCTGACTGTCTGTCCTGATGTAAAGTTACTGTTGTTATCCCTGTTCCCATTGGTCGGCACACCGGGATCCCAGCATTGACCTGCAGCTCTGCCTGAAACAAAACAATGTAACGGTGTGGATTTTCTTTCTTTGCCATTTATCATATAATTATGTGTATATTTGCATTATTTCTATTCTGTTCCACTTCCCATACATTACATAAATTACAAACTATAAAAGTCCTATAGTATGAATCATACCAATTAGCGTCATTTACATAATTTGCAATTTGTCGCATCTTCTGGATCCCAGAAACTATTCATTTACCGAAAATTAAAGAAAACTGCCACAAACACAGTTCATATTAACCAGCATACTAAATGATATCATTGACCTTGTTAAAGTGTATCCAAAAATCTTACTTATGTAAGAGAACTGGAACCCCTGACGGCTGGTAATCCAATCAGATGTAAACCTCAGGAACAGCGTGTTGGATGTGCTGATGATGGGGCTAATTTGCCAGTATTCACCGGTTAACCTAGACATTATGAAATAATAAGGAAAATCAATATTTGACGCACAAACTACTGTAATATTCCGAGCTTTTGGGGCTGTTTTTTTGTTATGCAGAACAAATTCAAACGTTTATAGTAGCTTGAATACCCCATGTTGATTGGTCACAATTTTTACCTCGTGTAGTTTTGAATCATGAAACACAGAATGTATAACTTAAATCCTTATCATGGGTCGTTTTATCTGCCTAGAACTTGTATAGCCATGGAGATGTTTGTTTTTAACCTGATTGATACCTGTGGTGTCAGATGGAGTAACGCTTTTAAGTTAATATTACAAAGCTAAAAATCAGTTCGCAAATGTCACAATAAAAAAGGACGCTATAATGATGATGATACCAGTTGCAAGAGATAATTTCTCTCGTGTCAAGAAAGTGTTGAAGATGAGTATTATTTTCTAATGACTTGTCCTGCCTATACTACAGATAATCATATTTAATCAATATGATCACATGTAAAGCTAGTGAACCTTTCCCAAAGACAAACACGGAATTTTTCAATGTACTGAAGTCATACCTCCGACCCCATATCTTCGTACCTAGACCAATATATATGTAGTGCCTTACAAAAGAGAGAAAGTTCTGTAACAATCAAAAACGCGTAACGTACATTATGTCATACGCCGTTTACGTTCATATTTTTCTGTAGTAGTTCTTAAAATGTACTTTTTGACAACATTGTACACTGTACAACTTTCGAGCAATTAAGTTTATACGTTAATTCCAACGATAGTCTGTACTGGTCTGAAATAGTTCAGTCTGTACTTAGTCGATCGGTTTCCTTCTATCGCAACTGATACTATCACCCCGATAAGTGACCAAGCTGTGCTGACACAGCTTAAACACCTACCAGTGAAGAAGGCCCCTGGCTTGGACAATATCCACCCCAGACTCCTGAAACATGCAGCTGAGGCTGTAACTAAACCCTTAACACACATATACAACCTGTCCCTCAGTACTGGTATCATCCCACCCGAGTGGAAGTCAGCAAGAGTAACACCTATCCACAAAGGAGGGGATCAGTCTGATCCTAACAACTTCAGACCAATCTCAGTTCTACCAGTCATTATGAAGATCCTTGAGAGAGAGGTACATATTAAGCAGTTTCTGATTTACCTACAGGCACACAAGATACTTAACCCTAGCCAATCTGGCTTTAGACCACTACACTCAACAACTACCACATTAATTGATGTCACAGATTACATTTTAGATAACATTTCCAGTGGGAAACTAGTTGGTGCTGTGTTTCTTGACCTTAAAAAGGCATTTGACACAGTAGACCATGGGCTTTTGATTAAGAAACTCGAATGGATCGGCCTTCATGACAGGGAGCTTGCCTGGTTTAAGAACTACCTAGCCAATCGATTACACACTGTCTCAATGAATGGATGTACATCTGATCCAGCTGTTGTCAACATTGGTGTTCCCCAAGGATCTATCCTGGGACCACTCCTGTTTAATCTGTTTATTAATGACCCGACAGCAGCTGTATCAGATAGTAAGATCTCACTTTATGCTGATGACACTGCCTTATTCAGTGTAAGTAAGGATCCTAAATACATCGAGGAGAGTCTCAACTCAGAACTTGACCGGATAGCAATCTGGTTCAAGACTAACCGGCTTACCCTTAACGCAAGTAAGTCCAAAAT